ATATCAGACGCACATAATATCTATTTTACATTTACAATGTGTTAATTAAACATGTTTTGATCGTTTTATAATTAATTCTGTTCGATTCAAAGTATTTTACTCGTAAGAATAAATACTAATATTTAAGATTGTGTACGGCAATCGTTTGAATCTGCCGCGCGTACGCCATGGACACTGCGCGCTCTGTGGGCCGCTAGTATATGCTATAATACAGATTCTGTATCTAGATGGCGCCGTTGTTGATCGGAGCGAACTCTATGATGGCGATGATGCGCCATCAAGTTAAGCGCATTCCTGTTACAATGTGAAAGAATGTATTCAATTTTAATAACATTTTTTAAAAACTTTTTCACATCAAAACAGGTCACAAAATCATGATAAAAATGATTGTTTTTAATTTTTGAAAACTTGAATTTGGCGCCAAATATAATCCGTAATATTTTTGTATGGTATAATATGATTTTCGTCCTGAAACGTATTTTTCCGTGGAATTGTGACTAACGTATTACAAGTTATATACGAATAAATGATGAAGAAACGAGTCATTAATTTTTTTCAATATTACGTAACAAGACGAAAAATCTGAAAAAAATCAATAATGAAGAAAATCGTAATACCGAGTGTAGGATTTTTTGGAGGCGTCACCTGGGAAATAAAACACAGAAAAATACCGAATAATTTAATAATTTAAAAATCTGAATTTTCACGCCAATTTTTTAATCTACGTATAGATGTCAACTATGTCTCATAATTATTCAGAATTTTTTACTTTAGGTAATGATATGAAAAAATCAGAAACAGAAAATTCGTAGTTTTTCTGATATGTTGCAAAGCAATCAGGCTGTTGTTCTGATATTTTGGGAAACTGACTTTCAAAACAATACTAAACATGCCGTCTATTCGAAATTGAATTAAGCCTAGGGGCACTTCCACCCTCCCCTCCAGCTATCGTGCTACAGCCTCAGTGACATGGCGCATTGTCATTCATAAAAATTCCATCGTTGTTTGGGAACATGAAGTCCGTGAGAGAGCGGAGACTTCCGCAGTCGGAGTCAGTAGCTGCTTGGCTGTCCGGGAGAAGCTGCATCCAAGGCATACGTTGCCAACGTTTCGGCCGTTGCGCCGTGTCAACGTTTCGGCCACTATTCTGCGACCTTCCTCGAAATGTCTGAGGAAGGCCGAAATGTATGTCGCTCAGAGGAAGGTCAGGCATTTCGTCCTTCCTTACGCATTTCGCCCTGAGGAAGGTCGCAGAATTGCGCCCGAAACGTTTGCACCTGTGCTTAGGACGTAGGATTTCCCTGTCAGCCAAGCAGCTATTGAAGTCCATGAATGTTCTCCAAGTAGCTGAACTAACGATTTTCATTAAATCATCGGTTCAGTAGGACCAGATAACCCATTCCGTGTAAAAACAACCCTCGCCATTATGGAGCTACCAGCTTGCACAGTACGTTGTTGACAATTTGGGTTAATGGCTTTGTGGGGCCTGCACCACATTCGAACCCTACAATTAACTCTTACTAATTGAAACCGGGACCCATCTGACTAAGCCACGGTTTAGCAGTCGTCTAGGGCGCAATTGATGTGATCACGAACACTGGCTCTGCAGGCTATTCGTCGTGTTATTAGCATATGTAGTGCTATTAGCAAAGACATTCGAGTCGGTCTTCTGCTACCATAGCCCGTTAAAGTCAAATTTTGCGGCACCGTCTAATAGATACGCTCATCGTACGTCTAACATTGATTTCTGCTGTTATTCGACGCAGAGTGGCTTGTCTGTTAGCACTGACTATATGCAAACGCCGCTGCTCTTCGTCATTTACTGAAGGGCTTCGACCACTGTTTTGTCCGTGGTGAGAGGTATTGCATAGAACTACAGCTCGACGACTTCAAAAAAAGTCGTAATGGCGTCGCTAACCTCGGGAGGCGTGGCTAAGCCATCCCTCACTGCACCCGAAGGAGAGCTTAATTGAACTTAAGGACCGCCTGCAACGATAACTGACTCGCTCTTGTGACTTAGTTCTCACGCTTCAACACTAGGGTTCGGGACGTCCGTGAAGGCCACGCCTAAGCCGAAGTGGCGGCGGCGACGGTTCCTCAAGGCGGGGACGTTGAGCCTCTACAAGAGGGAACCTTCCCCTCAGCACTATTCGCGCATGCGCAGTCTAGTTTTTTTCTAAATTGCCGAGGTATAGGTATTCTCGGCACACCTTTGTCACTGTGACACTCGGAATATTGAATTCCCTATCGATTTTCGAAATGGAACGTCACATGCTTATGGCTCCTACCATTCGGCGTTCTAATCTGTTAATTCCCGTCGTGCGCCAATAACCACATCAGAACCCCTTTCACATGAAAATAAACTTAGCACACCATGAAAGCCTCAGCCAACAACGACACCTGCCCACCTTTTATACCCTATGAAAGTGAAACCTATCCTATCTGTATATCTTCATAATGCCTAGTCCAAATCTATTGTGCCACCTCAGCGTATACAAACGTCGAGATGATATAGATAGGATACACCCTGATATCTCTTCACTCTCTCTGTACACTACTATACTAAATATATCATACATACTATATATATACTATACTATACCCACCTATATGTATTACTATGTATACCATAGTTCACAGTGGCAACTCATTACCACTTCCATCGTCCTGAACTGTCGGCAATTCTGTCATCAAATGAAATAATCTTTAAAGTTCTCCAATAGTTACCTCTTCGTTCACGTTCCACTACACTCCTACTATATCTAAGACAAACCGTTCGCAGTCCGCTATGACAAATATACATAACTGAGGTAATATAATTAATATAATCATTAATTTCAAAATATATATATACTATATAATAAATATAATAATATCCATAGTCTATATACACAACACACACACCACCCACACACACCCCAGATCACATCGACTTGATGCATCCCTGTCCATAACTTTCTGGAACATTCTCATTTTAAACATTGGAATTACTTGATAGTCACAGATTTTAAAACCATCAAATGTGGAGCAATTTATTCAATCGACAGTACCACAACCTACACAAAAACGTTACTATTAACTGTTTCCACTGGCAGCCATATTTATTTTCCGTTGAATACATCGGAATGCAATGTTGCCATTTTATCTTCATCTAGAGTGAATTAAGAAATGCATGGCATGATATATTCTGATAAGAAACACTACTGAGAGAGAGCTTATAGGACCCAAAGGGTACTTAGAAAACATTGATAAGAGTGGTGTTTGTGTGTTACAAATTTATTTTCCAGAGGACTATTGGAGAGAAAAAAATAATAATCAATGTACTGCAAAAATACGTTAATATAATTCTCATAAAATATAGAATAAAATGTCAATTTCACAATCAATTTTAATATCTACTATACCTTCTACATCCCAAAATGCCTCACATGTACTTTTCATAACCTATACAGACCTATAATTTTATCCAGAATTCAACACATCTCCTTTATGACTAACGTAGTAATGAAAGGTATTGTTAGTGCTGGTGTTCGGCGATTTGATTGGACGAAACTGAGGTCATATGATAGTCAGCGGACATTTTGTTATTGGTCGTCGGTGACGTACTCGTTGAGTGAAACCTGAATCGTACTTCGGATATTTACAAGATAATTTCTTGGAGAAATAACTCTCCAAATTTACCGTGCGTTGTGTATGTTGAGGTGTATGTGTAGCAGATTGTACGGTCCCATTTTCATGCAGTGTGTGTGAAGTATATTCTAGTAGTAGGTTTCTGAAATAAGTTTTGGGCGCCAAACGCCGTGGAACAACTCAAATTTCCAGGTACTTGAATTTAGATTTTTCTGCAAGTGTTTTGTTAAGTGTTTAGTTGTGAAAGAGTGGTATTTATGTACGCGTTATTATAATTTCATTGTTTTAGTTGTTATTTTGGATCATAATTGCGTATAAGAAACATGTTTGTGATGAGGTGAGGTTATGTGAAGACTGTTGTGTTGAAGTAAAACGTGTTTTTACTGTCTTTTGGTGACCACTTTGTGATACTCTTGTATGCCGTGTGGTATAATAGTACAATCTGAGTCTTTCGGTGTTTAATGGTGGTTAGGCGAGTTTTTTGAATTGTATTGGCAATGTATACTATTGAAAATTTATACATTGCAAATGAGTTATGTGGATTTTAATGTAGTGAACGAATAACTAGAGAGTTAAAATCATAATTTTATAAATATATAGGAGAATGACGATGTAATGCCCATCGACCCAAGATGTTTACACACTTAACCTCACCTGTCCCGGCGGCGGGAAAGAGCACCAACTGCGTACTTAACAGAATATTTTAAATTGTGAGATAAATGTTAACAAAATTGCTGTCATTTATTCAGACGTAACGTCGAAATATATATAGTCGTGTGTAATGTTGCGTGTGTTGATTGTAAACGAAAACTCGAATTATGCATTTTGAAAACTTTCATATCCATGACCTGGTTACCACAGACGAAATATAGAGTAAGTTCGAACCACTTTGAAATTGTTGTATACTAACACAGATTGATTGTTGAACAGCGTGTGTATGCGAAAGCTTGTTTATTGATTTTACAATTACGCATTTAGTGTTAAATTATATACTTTCCCCGCAAACCCGAAGATATTTGAGTATGGTTATGAAAAGTTTGTGACTGTTATTGTGGGTTATTGCAATAGGGACCATTGAGGTTTTTGTGTTACAGTGATTATAAGTAGAGGTTTAAATTGAAAGGAGAGGGAAAATGCTTGGTTTTAGTTGATTCATGAGGAAAATAATGTAGTGTATTAGTAGTGAAGCATTTGATCAACAGGAGCTGTTGAATTATCTAAATGGTGGAATTTAATTCATTACAGTGTCCACTATTCAACTACTCCTGTTCTTGAAATATTAAAACAAAGCTATTTGGATTACTTGATGTGCTAACCAAATCAAATATTGAATGATGTGTAAAAAGTATTTCAGAGATTTGAAAGGAAACCCATAAGTTTGTTCAACTTACTACTTGAAATTCATGTTGGATGTCCCTTGTATGTGAGATATTATGAAGATTATCATTTAATCCAGTTGATGAAGTAGGACAATTTTCAAACTCAAATCCATGCTTCATCTAACAAGAATATATTTCATTTAACATTTGAGACATTTGTTAATGAGCAAATATTGCTTTTCTTTTAAATAAATTGCAAAGATGCTTGTTTGAACATTTAGTGAGATGTAAATGGTATGTTGTGAAAAATCATGATTTTTTGTTATCTTTAGTGTATTCAGTTCTATGTTAATAAGTAAAAGGGGTTCAGAATTTTGAGGATTGAGAAATGCTAAATATAACACTCTATAGTATGAGAAATGGTATCATCATTTTTTCTTGCAATTTCATTTGGAATGTAATATTTATTAATATTTTATCAATTGTTGCTCTAATGTTTTAGGAGGAAGTATTAAAGAGTGCAGTTTATATCCAATTTTTTTAAACTTGCAGTGACCATGCGGTACACTAAACAGTAGTACTTAAATGTGTATGCTGTATATTCTGTGATAACAAATGTTATTGCACTGAGAGAACTTTCAAATATTTAGTTTGTTCTGTGGTGACGAATGTACATTTTTGGCAGTGTGTTAAATTCTTCGTTTCCACTAAGATTACGTCATAAAGAACTTTCATTCATTGAAACAAATTTTGGTTCTTCAATTTTTGTATTTTGAAAAACTTAATTCACTAATGAATGATCAATTAACAGCAGATTAAATCAGTTTCTAAATTGAATGTTTTAGTGTTTTTGTTTTCATTTATTAATGAGGCGCTTTTTTTGTGTATTAATTTCTAATGGATTTTTTTGTTGTTGTGTAGAATGGCGTGCACCCTTGCCATATCCAATGTTGAGAGTTTGTTGTTGGATCTACATGTAACAGAAGAGGATCCTGGATCACATTTAGATGATGATGTAGTCGACGAACCTCTTGATGAACAGCAAGAGGCTTGGTATCAAAAAAGTGAGGCAGAATATGAGGATGTTCTCAGACAGCTGGATGCTTACAGTGAGGTGGGAGAAGTCGTGGCCCAAACTGATTCTGTTTTGGCCATGTGTGTCACTGCTGACAGGTAATTTGGACAAGTAATTTTTGAAAGGCTAATTGTAGTTAAATTTTTAATAGTTGTTAAGTTTGTTTTTTATCACCAGAGTTGAGTTCTTGATGGCATTCTTTTATTATAATGTATATTTACTAGCCCACAAATCATGTGGGGGATTATGCAAACGAGGTGTCGTTGAAATTTTATTTTTATTAATATTTTAAAGTTATTTTTAACATTTAAAATTTCATTGCATTCTCATTTTTTGTTTTAAGTTGTTCCTTGTTTTTTTTTTTTGATTTTTCCTCCTTTTGTTTTCCATTTACATTTTTCATTCTCAATTGGTTTTCCATCTATTTATAGAAAATTGCAGAAAAAAAACATGAGTTTTAAAAAAATTGTTAATGTTTTAAATAAATTTCTTATACAAGTTTTACTGTCATTTTTGGGGAATTGAAATCCATTGTTAAAAATGTGCCTTTCTGGCGTGATAATTTATTTACATATTTCAGAATGTATTGTGGTATGAAATCCTGAATATGGAAATATAATTTTTATGTTAAATTTAAATTTTATTCAATCAGTTGATAAGTTTGTTTCTTTCACATACGTTGTTGAAAGGAGGTAGTGATATTTAATTTGACATAATATTAAATTTTTGACTTTATTTTAGAAATGTAATAATTAGTATTAGTGTTATTTTGGAGAATATATAACTATATGAAATTTGAGAGTACATAACTATAAGAATTGCTTTTCCAATAAGAGCACTGAAATTGAAAATGTAAATAATTTTTGCCATAATTATTCTCTGTAAATATATTGATTACAATAGAACACATTTTGAATTTATAATTTGAGGACTTTAATGTGAATTTACTGAATATTGCATCAATCTTTCTTAAATTAAGTATGAATTCAAGTGGTTCTTACAAATATACATTTCAGTGAACCTGTAATGTCATCACTCCTATTTTTTCAGTGATTTGCATCACATTTGGTGGTTGGTTCTGTAAGCTTAAAAAAGCTAAAAATATTAAAATAGTAATTTTTGTTTGCATGAATATAATCTACCAGCCCTTTGAACAATGCTTTATTTTGAATTAAATTACTGTAGGTATGCTGATGCTTTTTGGGACTCTTTAATAAAATTCTTGAGATATCAGAATTATGTTGTATTCACAGTCCAGCACTAAAAGCAAACACACTGATTAGCTTATTTAAAATTTATTCCAAGTAGACAGTATTGTTGGGCAATTCTTAGGGAAGGGTGAAGATGTAAAGTTTTGGCTGCTTGTCCTTTCGCTTGGTGATATCAAGGGAACTAAGTGTGGTGAATGTTAAATTGTAAGTGTGAGAAAGATTGAAGTGACAAGAATGAAAGAGCACTGACTGGTGAGGTCTCTTATTATTGTTTGACAAGTTTATCAAATACAGGATTTACTTGATAGGGAGTCCCCATGCATCTTAGCAGTTCAGGGCTTCCAGTATTTTAAAATAAAATAAGCAACAGGATTTAAATGACTTACCAAGACACAATTTTTTTATATTGTAAAATCCACATCATTGGGAGGAGGAGATGGAGTTTTTGAGGGATAGTGTCTGGAGATCAGAAGGAACATTGTATTTATAATGTCCTATATGGTAAATTCAATGCTATATCTGTTTGTTTTGTGGTGAATTGCGATAAAAACAATTAGGAAATAATTTGATTTCTTAAGTGACAGAATGAGTGCTTTTCGGATAAAATTGAAGATCCACATCTTTCATCTAACTGATTTATAAGATGGTTTCCAGGACAAACAACATTAAATGCATTGGAAAATATGCATTGCATTAACTTAAAGATATTTCAACTTGGGTTTAAAGTAAATCTGTATAAAAGTGCCAGGATGTTTGCTTGTGTGAGGCGAGTAACATATTAGCTGTTTTATAGATATTCCATTTGTGCAGTATGGAACTGCAAGCTGAGTTTTTGGAGGTGTGTCTTGAGACCAAAGAACAGAGTAGATGTTTCTTTTTAATATAATTTAACAGTTGGTGAAGACGTGAACAATACCTCTGATCTCCTCCTCTATCACCCCTTCCCCTTCTCTCCCTCCCCCTGCCCCTCCCATCCATTTTAAGGGATTTGTGTTGGTATTTATGATGCATCCATTGCAAATGCGGGGCATTTGGATTTTGTCTTTATTTTTTAGTGATAAAATAAAAAACCCTTTGTTAAGTTTAAATAATAATAGTTTTGGGAAGTATTTGTATAAAATCTTTTTAAAATTTACTTTTGATTGTTTTCTTTCTATTTCTGTGAAACATCATTATTTACAGTGCTCTAAAGAGAAAATTAGATACATTTGTAGTTTTTTTCTAATATAAGGCGTCTTTAATATTTAAATAGAAAACAGTCCTCTTGAATTATTCAAGGGGTGATATGTGTGGTGGTGAGACTGCTTCCCTTCTACTTCAGAGTCCTGGTGTTCAAATCCTGGTTTGTCTACACGAAATTTTTGGTATGCAAAACCGGATTACATTAGGTTTTTTGAGGTTCTTCTGTTTCTCTTGCATTTTGTTCAATCATTGTCATATCATCATCATCATCACAATCCATCAAAATCATTCATTCAGTCCAGGTGTGGGTATAAGGTTAGGAACTAGCATAATAATAAAGATATTGATTTAATCAATAATAAATGTTCTTGCCCTCCTCTGCTGAAGGGACCTCATTGATTGGAGTGGAATTTAAGACCTAATATTTCAACGATTCACTTTTCTCATAACTATTGGTGGGAAGGGAAATATCTTTGAACAGGATATTTTACAAAGAAATAGTTCTATCATTTAATGTTATCATAACTAAAGTAAATAGGTCATCTCGGCAGATGTTCTGTTCTTCATATGTCTTTGTCTCTCCCACTCCCCCCAGCAAAAACGTAATAGAATGTTCAAAAAGATATCATTCTGTAGATTAGTGTGAGATATGTTATTTGTATTGTTATAATTTTTGTGCACATGCAGGATTTTTTGTATGTCTCAAGTTTTTTTTGTTGTTGTTGTGCAGCCCAGAAGTGCAAACAGTACTTCCATCTGTACCAACAGTGGCCACCACACCTGCGTTAACTCCTGTAATAACCAGCGTGACGACGACCAGAGCAGTTCAGCCACTTCCTCCAACACAACCGCAGACCAAGACACAAACACCTTCAACAGCAGCATCAGCAGCAGCAGCAACAACAGCAGCAGTTGCATCGGCAGCATCATCAACATCATCATCAGCTCCTCAACCATCTCAGCAGGCATTGGTCTCTGCTCAACCGTCTCAACCTCCAATGCGTGTGCAAAGTATGTCATCAGGCGGAGTTATTTTACAAGTGAGTAAAAACTTCTTTACTCTTCTCCCTTTTGATTATGATCTTGCTATGGGGAGTAACATGTTGACTTATAAAAATTATTGAATAAATATTGCATTTTATCATCAGCTATTGTATTCCAACACTTTTAGAAGATTTACAAATTTATTGAGGATGGCTCAGATATTCCTTTCAAATAATATTCTGAACCATTGGTGGTATTGAGATGTGGTTTCCACTAATGCAAACGTAAGTGAGGGGCACATAAGAGATGTATAATTTTACTCTACGGCTTTTTTATATATGAGCATTGGCAAAACACTGATTTTTTGGAAAGAATCCATAGAAATTTCTTTCGTCCATATAATGAGTGTATAGACACTATTTCGTATACGTGCAAAAGTGTTATATCTGATAATATGTACATCTGTCACAATGCTAATTTACTCATTTGGATGAACACCTGCCTCCCAGGTTTTGACATGCACTTCACTGTTGGGACTAATTACGAATGCAGTTGACACACTCAAAAACGTTAGCATACCCAGAAACATTGGTTCATCGTTGTTGTTTTATCATTTTAACTATAGTTCTTTTTTATTTTTTAATAGTTTTTTTCAGTAGTTATGAATAAAAAATAAGTTAAAAATCAACCAAAGCCATATTTACCCGAATATAATAAGAAACTTTTTTCCTAAGTTTATCATTAGAAAAATATGGTGTCGCTTTACAATCTTATATTTAACATAATCGACTGGATCTGTTTTCATGTTGCCTATTCATGATGAGAAACTCAAACGATGAAATAACAATAAGATGCAAAGATACATAAAAACCCCTCAAATTATAGTAACTAATGAAGGTAATGGCACCAAATGTGGATATGTCACATAAAGCTATCATGGAAGAATAATTGTTTATAAAAAGAACATTCTAATAGAACATGTTGGCTTCTGTGGCTCAAGTTTTTGACTTCTTGGCTGTCCCGAAAACGCCGCATCGTTGGCTGAAAGGCCGACGTTTTGCCTGTGATATTTTAGGCTTCTTCAGGGTAGTGACATCACTACCCTGAAGAAGCCTGCAATATGATAGGCAAAACGTCGGCCTTGGACTACTACTGCTACCTCTTGCGGCGGGTGCGGCGTCACCCGGACGGCCTAGAAGTCAAGCATTCTAATAGTTCACGAAGAGGTAGCAGTAGTAGTCCATACCTTAGTTTGAGGTGACAAGTCTAATTAATTCCAATGAAGTGATTTATCTTGAGGTTGATGGACATATGATTTGGCTTGTGTGCTTAACCCATTCAAGGCATGTCCTCTGCCTCCTCATGTTGTTCTGACCAAAGATAGGCAGTGCCTGTCCTGTACTTTTTTTGTAATATTTCCATGTTTTCCCAATAGATTGTTATCGTGCTTTTTTTTAAAGGAATCTGACCTGCAGCTTGTAGAATTTCCTTGTTTTCCATCAATATTATGTTTTTGTAAATACGCAGGATCACATTCTTGACTTTGCTATCATAGCTGCTGCAAGGCGTTCAAATGAAATATTGAAATGAAACAGACAATATTGGTGACATGGATAGTAACATAAATTGTGAAAGTAGTCAAAATATATCACACTGAAAGTAATTTTAACGGGTAATTTTAATAATTTTTCATACTAATTAATTAATTACAAACATATAAGTAAAAGTACTACCTTGTAAAATTGAAATAAACAATTTATGTAAACCAACATAATTATAATTTTATGTATTTATTATTATTTAATATTATTTGATGCAGTGGTGTGCTGCTGGAATAAATTCAGCCCCATAGGCCACAATTTAAAAAAAAATCGGCCTTGAATGGGTTAAGCAGCTATCCTTGGAAATCCTTAAGAATTTCTGAAGAAATTGGTTTTTGTTCCTAGTTTGTAATATGAAATGAGTTTACTTTATGGTATTGGGGTGTTAAGAAGGAAATTAGGAAGGGTTCTATGTGTATACCTTTACTTGGGCCAAGATCATCAATGAAATAATTATGAGTTGTCATTGCCGACAATATTGTTTATTATAAGGACAGCTTTCGATGGCTTAGCCATCATCAGTTATATGCTATATGGAAGCCACAAAACTACTACACTAGTCAACCAGTTTTACGTAACTTTCTCTGCACTAGGTATATTTCTCCATATAATATGCATGCATACGAGAAAGTAAAAAATTAAGGGGAAAAATGACGTAATAGACAGGAAGTACTCTTCATATCAAGTTATAATTGAAAGAAAAGTATGGCTTGTAAATACAGCGGAACTTCAATTTTACGATTCGTGATGTTACATTTTCTCGAATTGTCATAACTGAGTAGCTGTAGCAAAAATACTTACAGTATATGGATATAATTTTTCTCATTTTTACATTTGCATGGCAAGATTTTGCATGGCAGGACTGTTAATTTTGTTGGATATTTGGAAATAATAGGTGTCAATGATGGTGTCAGTTTCAGGAAGGGTGGTGGGAATAATATAAATGTGTTTTGTTATTCGTATTTTAGTAATCGATGCTCACTTGAAAAACGAGTAGACATCGCCGCCAAAATGGGTTTGAATGTGTCCACTTTGAATTCAATTGTGAAATAGCACAAACGAATTCAAAAGTGTTACATGAAATGCGAATCGCCATTTTTGAGGTGACGAAAATCACTGTAAATGTCTTGTATGGAAGAATTGTAAACTGCCCTCGCTTGGTTTAAGCAATCAAGAACATATAATTTAGACATCAATGAATCACATCTAAAAGAAAAGGCGCTACATATAGAAGTACCTGTAGGACTTAAAGATGTCGAGGCGTCCAATGACTGACTGGACCGCTTCAAAAGGCGTCAGAATCTAATTTACAAAACTGTCTCTGGAGAGTGTGCAAGTGTGAATTCAGCCACCGATTCAGACTGGAAAACTGCAGATTCATTTCTCAGCTAAATGAGGACTATGAAATAAATATTTTCAATGCTGACAAAACTGGTGTGTTCTTCAATATCTAACCCAACAAAACATTGGCTTTTAAAGGGCTAATGGAGGCACCCATACCATGGGGACACTAAATCAAAACAAAGAATCACTATGCTGCGAGCATGTATTGCTGAAGGAAGCAAAAAAAATGCTTCCTTTAGTTTTCAGTAAGTTTCAGAACCCCCAATGTTTTAAAAATATTAAAATTATTCAAACAAAATGCAAGGCAAACCAACAAGCTTGTATGACTGAGAGAATATTTGAAAAATTTCTCTTACAAGTAGATAGGCAGATGAGAGGCCAAGAATCTTAAAATTGTTCTCTTTATTGATCAGTGTGCTGCTCATCCAAATTAAACTAGCGGGCTGCAAAATTTAAGTTATATTTTTGCCACCAGACATGGGCATCATCCATTCCTTCAAGTGACATTATAGGAAGCAGTTAATAAGAAAAGTTGTAGCAGTAATAGGAGGTGGGAGGCGTGATGATACTTCAAAAATGAAATCCACATTCTTCAAGCATTGCATTTTGTCACTGAAGCTTGGAGACATATCTTCTGAATTGTTTCAAAAATGTGTTGTGAATTGAAGGTGAAATGAAAAACATTGAAGTTCTTCCAATTTTAACAGCATACGAAAAGCAAGACAGGCTGTCGTTGAAGGCAAGTGAGTGTGACTTTCAAGATTATGTAACAGTAGATGATGATTTAAAAACTTGTGAGGTTCAGTCTGTCGACCAGATACTAGAAGAGTACCAGTAGCTCCTGTCAAATGGAAGGAAACGTCTGAAGTTGCTGAGGAAAAGGAAGACGAGAAGGAGGAAAAAGTTACCTTCATACAAGATCTTAGAGGTGTTGACTATGCTCGAAAATATTTTCAGCAATTTAACATAGACGAAAGTGTGTTGGTTTCATGCAATAACTCTACATTGTAAAAGGAAAGCAAACATCAATTTTAGCCTGAGTGAAGAAGTGATTGTGTCTAGTTTAAAATATTTATTTTTCTAAGGGTCATAGCTTTTCAATTGAAGTTTTAATGAATTATTTATATTTACAATTAAAACATTAAGGAGTGAACAATTAAACAATCTGTTATCATCAGATAAAGGGGGACAGGTGGGTCAATTCTTTCTGACACTCGTTTATGTGTGTGTGTGTATATTCTTTTCATCTATTGTGGATTTGTGGGGTGATTGACTAATATTTTTGAGTGGAGCAGTAAAGAGAGAATTTCACGGCATGGTAGAAAGTGAAGCACAACTTGAAAATGAATAAAAATCATTGTTGAGTTTGTTGAAGTATGGATATCTGTGTATTCATCAGTTCATAATTTATAATGCAAAAATTAGACTTTGCAAATTACAAGTTAAGGTTAACGAAGCACAGACCACTAACAAGAGCATGACAGGAAGAAAATTTGGTGTTGCACAAGGGAAAGTTTGTAGGGGGCATCAGATGAAAGGCGAAAAATGCAAATTTAACATGCATAAATTTCAAGGGGCCCTGAAAAGTCAGAGGATTTAGTATGTTAGGTAGAAAGAAAGTAATAATGATTCAAGTGCCGATGTAGATGTGAGTGACAAACATTGTAATGATTATGTGGAAAAGAAATCAGCAGTACCAGAGACAAAACTTTCTCATCTTGACAAGTTTATGGTCAAGGCAATTTGTGGTTTTATTGTGACATGGTAAAAATTAGTTAAAATTTAAAAATAATGGAAATGGTTCTCCACAAAATTAGGGGTTTGTCTTGATTCATCTTATAATCAGGTAAATATAGTGAAAATAATGATATTGGATAAGCGTAGTCGGTTTTTGACTAAAGCTATTAAAAGGTCATGCATTTATCAAAACAACTGTTATTGGATAAGTGTACATCATATTTTAATTTTTTTATGCTAAAAATTGTGTCATTGTATTGTGCTTTATTCAGTTAGTCATTGCTTGTTGTGCCTTTTAGACTTAATTCATACAATTTATTTCATATGATTTTTAATAATTTTATTTGCAGAGCCCCAGCACAGTGCCTGTCAGTCGACCTTCAAATAATGCTGCACAGCCCCCTCCGGGGACTTATCAGTTAGTGATGGATCCTCGAGTTGGTGGTTTTTTTGTGGGGCCAGTTTCAGCCACAGGTAAGAAGTACTGTTTCTCAATGACTTCAGAGTTTCAATTATTAAATGGGTAGCTATTTCAGAAAGCTGGAGTCCTGACGGTGAGGTGAATGATGGGATTTATTATTTTAGGATTGAAGAGATATAGAATACTAATGATATTTTATGCTTTTGAAAAAACTGCTAAAGCAAGGATCCAGTGTGTTTATGAATTTCAACTGTTTTTTCTCACCATTATTATAGTCCCTTTTTAAGGTAGTATTTTCATTCTATTGACCACGGAAATGTACTCCCCAAAAATATTTTGAATGAAAGTAAAATATCTGTTCTTCAAGATGATAAAAAATTTGGTCACTACTAGCCTAATTTTTTTAATAAGAGAAGTTTGAGTTAGTTAATGTTTCTGTGGAAAAGTTTTGTGGGCATATGTTTTTTTTTAACTTATTGAAGAAGTTATATGGTCGAAGTGCCTTACTCTTTTTTTCAATTCATAGTAAATTTATTGGTAAATCAGATAATATTAAATGTAATACACCTCACTGGGCATTCTGAGGAGTAATTGATAATAAATGCTGCCATATGTGTCACATCTGGAAGTACTAATGTTGTTGGAGCAAATTGTGCCATTAGGAACACTCACTTCAGGCACAATTTCAAATCAAGCTAACTTCAAATTTTGAATTGCACACAACTGCCAACTATTTAAATTTAACTTTCAATGCAAACAATGTGGACTGACATTCATTGTAGAAAGAAAGAAAACATGGTAGCCAAAGTCAACCTAACCTGTATTAGGTACTGCCATCTTACGAATATGAAAAATCATGTGAGGTACTCAATTGTATATTCATCATTATTTTTATAGTGCAGCAATTCCATACTGCTCTTGTTACTTTTTTAGACATACTTTGTAAGAAGAGAAAGTTATGTAATTGTTTGCCAGAAAATTGTGAGTTTTCAGTAGAAAAACTTACTGCCAGGACTTGGTAATGAGGAAGTAAATAAATCCTGTTCTTGTATATAGTAAATTCTTTCGTGTAACATGTGTAGCTAGAATTGTGTTTTGAGGGTTTTTGATACTGAAAAATCAATTGATGGCAAAGCATGTGTCTTTGGTCAATACTAGCACCTAAACTGTTTAGCCGATTTCTCCAAATTTAATATTCCCTGAGAGATCTGAACGAACTGAAGACTTGGATATTTTCAAATGGATATTTTGAGGGTACATGAAGCCTCAGAAACTTGCTTATTGAAAAATTTTCTCAATAATGGCTCCAAAAAGTGCAATTGTTTGAGGGGCATCTTGCTACAACTACAATATTGAAGGTATAGATTTATTTCCTTAATGGAATATGTTCTTTAAAGACAGATCTTGAAATAGGGTTATTACAATTTTTTGAAAACGTTAGTAGTTTTTGTGTAATTCTACAAAAAAGAGAGGCAATTTTAATTTTATTTTCTCTCAAAAAATTGTCTACTTAAATTTTCCAAATTTTTTCTTTAAATTTTCTCCCCAAATGTATCAAGGATCAGTAAAGAATTATGATGCTAGTCCCATTTTCAGGTAACTCTTCCTGTTTTTCAAAAATTGCAAAATGTTAACATTTGAAAACTACAATACTGAAGGTAGCAATTTTTGTCTTAACAAAGTCTGTTCTAATAAATCAACTTTTTAAGGAAAGGTCATGTAAAAGTTTTTGGAAAAACAAGATGAGTTCTTGAAATTTGTGTCTGAAATTTATGCAATACTTTGTCAAATTTTCTCCTTGAACAGAACATAAGATGTTAAAAAATTTGGTGCCCCTTTTTGGATGAACTCTCTGTTTGTTCAAATATTGTTAGAAATATTTGATCAAGACAATTATATTTTAAAGCGTTAGAAAGTTAGTTAGGAACACATAGCGCCGCCACACCTCGCTACACTACGTAGTGGTATGGGTGGCGACTAGTTTACTGGGAGGACATCAGGACGAGTCTCAGTTTGGCATGTAGTAGTATTATATAGTGGAGCAGTTAGAAGTAATACGAGTAAGTATGTGCTGTTGGAGCACCCCTCATAACTATTTACAAACAATTATTTGAATGTTCCATTCACATTTCTTGCAACTATTAATTAATCTGTTAATATTTAAAAAATGGGCTGGATTTTTTGACTGACGACTGGCACAAACATAGTACCTTAATTTGTATAAATTTAAGTTCTTGAACTTTTTTCAATTTCATGAATTTATTTCCAGTTTTTTGCAGAATGATTTGATTTGATTTGATATGATAAAGTTAAAGAAACAATTGATTACACTAAAATTAAAGAAATGATTGTAACCTTGCTCATAGAAAATGAAATTAAATACAATACTGCAATTATTGATATGTATGTTCAGTTATGTATTGTATGTGTTGCATTTTAACTATTTCTTTGTGATTGAAGACTTCTTTCACACTCTTGTCTCTCTCTTACTTCATGTCTGATTTATCAGTTATTTTGTAGTTCATGATTCTATTTAATTACTCTACTAAACTACTCCTTTGTCATATGGTTTTGGACCATAGATTTGTAAGATTTTTCCTTCAAAGTCACAGCAACATGATTGTTTCCATTGCTAATGAAATTCCTAATAATTTTTGGTGATGGATTAAAATGTTACATGCAGAAGGATATGTATTATATCTTCAGTATTGTAAATGTATAATCATCTGTAACATTTAGACATTTTTTGTCATAATCTACCATGCACTTGGCACTACGTACACAACAGATGGATTAAATCTCAAACAGAAACATTCAATGTCAGGTATGGGCAGGTTGTGTGTTAATGTACAGAGAATCTGCTACAATGGAAACCTATTGCCTCCCAAACTCACTCATTGAAAACTGTGTCTGGTTCAGCTAGTTCCCTTCTCTGTAGAGCAGGTAATGAACACACACTCATCGTGTGATCAATTGTCTGAAGCAGGTGGAAATCGTTCACACAATGATGTGGAATGCAGAGTGGGAAGCAGAGTTTACTTGATCTGATAATGATGATAGGTTTCCCCATTCTTCTTTAGCTCCTTCATGAGTGTCAGATAAACAGCAGCAACATTGATTGCAACATTAAAAAATCCTTGCTAAATGATTGTTTCAGATCAAGTCTCATGATGTACCACAGCATGTAGAGAGAGAACAGTTTCAGATGTATGCTGCTGGAACTGAAGGATAACTTTGTTAGTTAGTTTCATTAATTACGTTACACTTTAGCAAAGCTGTGACCAGATGAAACCGCACTAGCATGGTAATGGTTATTATTGTGGATCAGTCTTTGTATTTATTAATAAACACAATAAAAATGTACCGTTCTCTGTATTGTAATCACTTGTAAATGAATGTAGCATTAAAAGGAAAAGGAAAACGACAACTAAAACTAATAGTGCTTCATCACATCAGGTTTTGAAAGTTCACGGAACCTTACGATAACGGCATAATACGATGCACCTCACAGAGAAAGATCCACATGTGGGTGCGAACGCACAACTCGATTGCTTGGCTATCTAATTTCATAAAATCCACTCGATCAATCACACATTAGTACCCAATCTCCCTTTCTGCGTTCCTCATCGTTCTCAACTAACCACCACAACTTCGGTAAATCCAATTAATAATTGTAATCTCGTACACTTGCTAGTGAGTAAAGGGTTATGTGCTGGGGAAAGAGGGTGTAGAGAGGTCTATGCCGTCGACCCATAAAGAAATATGAAGAAAAGCGGCCCCGGTCGAGGTCCCGAGGGTTGAGGAAGGGGGGAGCTTTTCGAGCCTGGCAGATCACCCACAGCTCACCAAACAAATATGTGTTGCGTTAAGTAGTGTAATATCGTAAGAAAGTAACAAAATATGACTTCTATTGAGAGAAAGATGTGATGAGTCAATGAAGCAATAATTCTTTTTAAAGGAGTCAATAGAAGAAAATGATTTGGAATCCCTGATCTAAGCCCAAACTAGCTCAAACTATTAAATTGTGGGTCTTGAAAAATCAAATTGCACTAGCTAGTTATTCCAATCCTGATGAAATTTCATAGTTACGTAGTTTTTAATTTTTTATATCTTTGGGGACATTTAAATAAATATTTAGATAAATGTTTTTTCGGCAGGATATCTTTAAACCATAACAATGACAATAACACATTCGTTGTGGTGGTCGGTGGCCATGGCCAATCATATGCTCTTGCATGAAAGAAAACAAACCTGACTGTTCAAATCTGGGTATGTCACACTGTTTTAAAGTGCATGTGCAAATATAACCATACATAATATTGTTTTTATCGCATTGCTTCATGCAGCGTTGAGTCATGCTGTGTCCTTAAAGTAATGCAATCTTTGTTCATGAGATTAAATTGGTGTGTTGTTATGTTTTTGACTTAGCAAGTCTGGGTTTGTTGCAGGTGTTCCAGCGCCAGGTACTCCATACAGAGGTCCTGTGCCGGTAAGTTTTACACAAACTGGAAAGTTCTTGATCAGGATTTGCTGGATAGGCTTCTGGGTAGCCTAGGCTTATGCACCCTAAGCTAAAAGAGAATAAGATGGAGTACTCCATCAGAATGCATATGTGTAGGTGGGGTATTCTATTCAGAGATACAGATCAAGAATCTCAGACTTACATAGGATACTGTTGCCATATATATTGACTTTAAACCTTTTTTTATTTTGTGCTTGGCCATTTTTTATTTTGACGTCATCATCTCGTTGTTCAGAGTGCCACAAACTTATTTGTGATAAAAGAAAAATGCAGTGGGACCTGTACTACTTGTGTGAATTTGATGGCATCTGAAATCAAGGTTTTGGGCCTTAAATCAAAGTGTATTCTCAAGTTTAAGTGTCCTGATTGTAAATGTTTCAAAATCTTGCCAGAGATTCTCTCTTAACTTTCTGAATGGTTTACCAAACTTTCTACCTTCAAACTCTACCAAGCTGTTGAGGGAGTTGACAAAGGTATTGCTTAAACGGATATTGTTTCTTCCACCGATATTATTGATGAGCTTAAAGAGAGATGTCATAAAATTTTATTGTTTATAACTTAGCCAAACTGGCTTTGGAAAGATTATCAGATAATATTAAACATTAATCCGAGATCATTATTGAGTTCTTAACTAGTATTTGGGTCATTGATAAAAACTATTGGTCATACGTATCGTCTAGGGAAATTTTAGGTTAATAACCTTTGCCAGTTAAGTTGTTTTGACTGATCATCAATTTGTAGATTTTAAAGCAGAAGAGTGATTGTGTCAATCATATCAGAATTAATGGTGCCTGGACTCTGATGCAGAGAAACAATTTTTAAAAAAAACAACCAAGATGTGAACTGGATAATCTTAACAAAACTAACGTAGAACCATAAGAAATATATCTAGCATATGTGGATCTCACTAAGGATTCATTGTCACCAGTTCATTCATTGTCAGAGGCCAGTTTACCTCATAGGTCTGCAAACGGAGATAGGTTAAAAAAATCGCACTACATGGCAGGGCAGCACTGTCATCCCTACCCCACTATACAATATTTATTTGTACTCTGGGCTCACCCTGACACCCTAGTGGGCTGTCTATTTGGTGGATTCCATGGTGGCTAGGGGGCCACGGAGATGAAACAACTTCCATTTATGGAGCTTCAGCCCAACTCTTTGCGCTTGCGGATGGTTGAGGCGATGTTTCTTGAAGGGAGCGTCGATTTGAATAGCTTATTTCTCAAGAGAACAGACCGGAGAAACCATGTTTTCTTCATATGACATGCGGCTAGGAAGTAAAAGTACCAACGCACTACAGCCCGGAATAAGAAGACCACGATATGTTGGTAGACACGTCGGGACTCGTAGCCTTCGACAAGGCATCACCGGGACAGCCCAGATCAGGACATTGTCATGCAATCGGACGCTTGAATATGAAAAAATGTAGTAATGAATCACCCAATTGGATGAAAGTTTTCCCCTCTCCGTTCAGCTCGATTTTGTAGTACCACTATGTTTAAATCGGAGTATAAGAAACGCCAAGGAAGTTACTCAGCAGCGGAAATCCAACCAAGCGTCCACTTTTGCTCAGCCCCTCATGAAGGCTGATGTCGTTCGGCTATCCATCTCGGACCCAAGTGGACTCTCGCTTCCAAGTGGCCAATCTTCCAAGCACTGACCACCTATTCCGATGCCAGAGATCGCATTGTGGAATCACTCAGTCTATCAAGGAATCTGCCTCGGCGGAAACGTCTTTGGGCGGACACTTGCTCCTTTGGGCAACAGCGGCGGAAACGGAAAAAAGGACTAGATCCATCTCCATACAGGATGGCCTTGCTGTTCTGGAACATAAAATGTTTCGTGCTCCCTACGTTAGGCACTAAAACGCTTGCTGTCCATTACACGCCAATCTGTTTACAGGAGACGCGTATTATTCCACCATCCCCTATCCTTTCGCGACTTTACCCAAAGTACGGACGATGTTGATAAAGGCCTCCGCGCTCATGGAGTTCCTGCTTTGATTCACGATTTTCTGCTTTCTACCGAGGTACCTATTATGACCGACCTTACCGGTTTTTTATGAGGTTAGGTGAAAATTAAGACTGCGTAGCCCGTACTACCCAGTTTGTGAGATTTTTACTCACTATACCAAACCTCCCTTCGCAGAACCGCCTACAGGGTTTACAACACGGAGAGTGGAGTAGTGACCTCGTCACATGAAGTTAGTCAAGTGCGAGGTCAGATATTCCTGCGTCCTTTCTCTATGCGTCACATTTCCAGCAATACGTCTTGTGCAAAGTTACACCGACCTGCAATTTTTAGAGACAAGCATACATGCAACTACGTTTTCTAAAGTCATCTCTCCTACACCAAGTATCCCATCAGTAACTCGTCATTGAGGTGCGAAATATGGGCACTGAAAAAACGTGTGTTCGGCGACCTCGACATCAGGTACGGACTCAGGACAAAGTGGAGAATTATTCAGTTTGAACCTGTGGACGTAGGCTCTGGAACAACCATGCTCCTTTAGAAGCTGCGTGGGGTAAACCTTTACTCTGTCGTGCATTCGACTGATCCACGATTCAATGGTAGGAATCGGTTGGTATGGCCATCTTCCCTAGGAGAACGTGACCCATCACTGTTTCTTTCCGCTAATTGTTCCGGGCCGTTCTGCCTATTGGGTTCATCGTGGTTATGACGTGAACTGCTTTATTGAAGACAGTGCGAAACGCACATGCAACCCTGAGCGCAGATACCTGATATAATGAAGCCATGCATCGTGCATAGCTCTTCGTATCTGTAGTGTTATCATGACTAGGCCTTCCAGTGTTCGGCATTAATCTAGTTAACGCAGAATTCACTACCGCCGCTGTTTTGCATGGCATAGTCCAAGTAGTCTCTAGTACAAGGACTTGTGAATCATAATGCCAAGGTATTTTATCGCTGGTCGAGAAGATGATTTGTGATGACAGACTTACGCAGTGATGGATTATCTCTTCTTTCTGCCGCCCAAGCAGCAATCCTGTCTTTTGTTCGGCAAGCGGCGGAGTCCAGGCAACGACTGACGATGGCAATAGCTTCATCGCAAATACTTATACATTTTGCTACGACGACGATGGCAGTGTCGTCTGCGAAGCCTATGATCGTCGTTCCTTCTGGCAGTGGGAGCCTAAGAACTTTATTATAGATGATAATCCACAGTAGTGGACGCAGCACCGAACCTTGTGGGACGTTGGAGGTGATTGGGTCCATCATTCGTTTTGTAAATATTCGGCCAATATTTTTGTCAGGTACATTGATTTGGTGGAATGCCTTATGAATGTCACTCCATTTGGCTGAGTTGAAAGCATTTTTAATGTGTAATGTTACAATTGCACAATAACTTTTTGGACCTCTTCTGTACCTGCTCCCTGTAATGGCCTGACGGGCAATGTCAACGACAAGCTTAAAAGCATAGATTGTTGAACGAGCCTTGCGAAAGCCATACTGGTTCTCTGAGAGTCCAATTCCTTTATCTACTGCATCTTTTAATCTTGCGCAAATGACATGCTCGAAAACCTTACCCGCTGTATCGAGTATGCACAGCGGCAGATAAGATGCTGGCTCTACAGGAGGATTTTTCCCTTCGGAAGTAGTACTAGATTTTTCTTCAATCTCTCAGGAATTATCCTTTCTCTCAGACGTGTTTTGTAGAACGAATTCTTTACTACGAGCGGATGGATATCAGTCTTGTAGGCGATGTTGGGGATGCTATCCAGTCCTGGTGCCTTGCAGTTCTACTGAATACGTGGGTGATCTGGGCTGTCCGGGTGACGCCGCGTCGAAGGCTGAGTTGCCGACGTTTCGACCATCCTGTCGTGGTCTTCCTCAGGGCTGCCCTGAGGAAGACCACGACAGGATGGTCGAAACGTCGGCAACTCAGCCTTCGACGCGGCGTCACCCGGACAGCCCAGATCACCCACATTACTCTGGTCGCGGAAGCCTACGACTTCATCTACTGAATACGTGCTGTACCTCATCCTCAGTGCCTGGTAGTATAATTTCCGTATCAGGTGGCATGATGTTCATTGCCAGGAATAGTGTGGAAATAACGTCACAATTCTCCTAAGAATGTTAGGGCAGGTTGGAGAGTGGGAATGCGACTTCATCGCACAGGCTTTTAGTGCTAAGACATTTACTTTACCAGATTGCGATCTTCAGTTGGTTTCGTGCCAATTTACATTGTTCTTACAATTGAACAAAGGAATCTTTGCATCGTCTCCTGGTCCGAAGGTATTTACGGCGCTGTTGAGCGATGTCTTCATTCCACCAGTAAACTGGTAAACGTCGGTTGTTGGTTACTCTTCTGGGAATAGAAGCATCACAAGCTTTGGTTGTCTAGTTCATACTTTGGCCAACCTTTGCCATTCCTGGTGATACAAAATTCTCCAAAGTCTGTTTACTTCTTTGTCTTTGGCTTTTCATCCACTCATCTTACATCCCCGTGCATTGTAATCCTTTCTTTGATATTGCGCGTCATGTACAATAGCCTGATGGTCGCTGTATTTGTAGTGTTCACTGACTTTCCTGGATACTTGTTTACTCAACAAGCTACCTATCGTAAACGTTATTTCTACCACTGATCCTACCACCTCGGCGGAAGGTGTATCTTTGGTGTTAAAGAGCACTACGAACAAGAGAGAATGATTCTAGCACAGCTCGACCTCATGTTTCGTGCCGAACTACCCCACTCCAAAGCCCACGCGTTGAAGTCTCCAGCTATCATGAGGGGGCTGCGTCCTCTGGCATCAAGAACTAGAGGGTCAAGGATTTGCTCAAACTCATTAAACGTAGAGTCTGGTGACGCGTAGCAGCTGTGTGTGTATAATAAATAATATTCCATCAATTTTGACCCAGACGAATCCAACTTCATCTTGAGTCATTACTTGTTAAAATGGACGTTTTTCTTCTTCGGGGTTTCATTCAATCCGTCTCCGCTTTCT